CCACAAAAATGCAACACATTCAATTTCACCAAAAAGTGGAAAAAAACAACTAATAAAACGCATATTCAATTTTAAAAGAGGAAATGCTTACAATAATACAAATTAGATGATTAGGTAGAAAAATTACCTAAAACAGAAATCACGATCCAACAATAAAGTACAATATAGAGCTGACATAAAAATAACAAAGAAAAGAAAAACCAAAGACAATAATTTTAAAAACCAAAATAATATAAAAATATGTTAACAAAACAAATCACACTGAATCGCATTGGAATATAGGTAACCTATTTATAAAAAATAAAAACACGAATGGTTATTCGAAAACCAGGTCTTATAAAATATATTACATTTTAATTGGTTGAAAATTTGACGCGTAAATACAAATAGCACGCGCCTACAGGTTAAAAAAATCTCATTGACAACAGCCACAGTAAAAACCACAACAAAACAACTGCAAGGTATGGTTTCTATTTCCTGGTTCGTTCAGTGTACACAACTCTCTACACAAATAGGCACTTGAGAACTCGAGACGCTTACACAAACAAATCGTAATACAAGCACCTCTTCACTGTCTCAAGCAGGTCTCATTTCGTTCAACATAACCTCAATCTTTCTCATCCAGTCCCAAGCTTTTAGGCTTATCATATTATATATATATATATATATATATATATATATATATATATATATATATGTATATATATATATGTATATATATATATATATATGTATATATATACATATACGCAAATATGTAAATAGATACCACCATATATATATATATATATATATATATATATATATATATATATATATATATATATATATATATATATATATATATATATATATATATATATATATTTATATATATATATATATATATATATATATATATATATATATATATATATATATATATATATATATATATACAATATGTATACAAATAAATAAGTACATATATATTTAGATGTATATATGTTACTATATATGTATATGCATATATTTATATATGCATATATGCATATACAAACATGTTTTGTTCATAATTGACTTTCATGTGCTACTCTAATATAACTGAATAAGCTTCCTCTTATATATATATATATATATATATATATATATATATATATATATATATATATATATATATATATATATATATATATATATATGGTTCCATCACAATGATCTCAGGACAAATGATCTCAGACAAAATATCTCAGACAAAATATCTCACGGACAAATGATCTCAGGACAAATGATCTCAGGACAAATGATCTCAAGGACAAATGATCTCACGGACAAAAGATACCAGGACAAAATATATCAGGACAAATGATGTCATGGACAAATGATCTCAGACAAAATATCTCAGACAAAATATCTCACAGGGAAATTTTAATAGTATGTACGATGATTTTAGTTGATTTGAACTTTTTAAAAAAATTAACAGTTAATATCGGTTGTTTACTTTTTTACGCATAAAAATTGTAAATAAATTGAATTTGTGAAACCTAATAAGACATCAAAAGATTTATTAAACTTTGTCATAGCGTTTGATTCGAAAAAAATTATAACAAACTTACTCTTTAGACTGAAAGGTATAATAAATGATAAATAAAGTAATGGTTGTTATACAACATTAAGGTTCAAAACACGCGAAATATTTATCAAAACTGTGAATGGGTCTTCAGGTTCGTAACGTTAAACTATTGTTTTTATTGCATCATCAGCACAAACATAACGTTTACGTTTCTTCGCTGGCACGTACATCAATATGATCACACCTCTCCAATACTATGTGATCATGTATTGTGTGAACTCTTGCTCGACATGTTCGCTGTTTGTTTAAATAAGCATTTGTCACCTGATCACTAAGGTGTGACCGACGCATAACTATTGACTGTTGATGCTAGTTGTATTGTCCATGGAAGGCGGATGTTTTTCCCTTAAGGCATGTCTCTGCTATCAAAGCAGGCGGCGACCTTGATACGAAGGTGTGTCTTTATTGTTATTTCATCCCCTTTGATCTAGTTTCGTCTACCTGACGTGGTACGATTGTCTCATGTTTGGCAAGCTCACCTACGCTGTCTATCGAAAAAAATCTTTAATCTTCGTATACTATATTACTAATACTAACTTTAAAATGTTTAGTGCAAAATAACAAATTTATACGCCAAACAATTATTATATAGGCCTATAAACAATATTAAAACATAATAAACAAAACCATATGACAATCAATAAAAATAAAATTCAGATCAACTAAAATCATCAACTACACTATTAAAATTTAGGTGTGAGATATTTTGTCTGAGATGTTTTGTCTGAGATCAATTGTCTGTGGTATCATTTGTCCTGGTATATTTTGTCCTGGTATCTTTTGTCCGTGAGATCATTTGTCCGTGAGATCATTTGTCCTGGGATCATTTGTCCTGAGATAATTTGTCCGTGAGATATTTTGTCTGAGATATTTTGTCTGAGATCATTTGTCCTGAGATCATTTGTCCTGTCACCATATATATATATATATATATATATATATATATATATATATATATATATATATATATATATATAATATATATATATATAATACAATATATATACAAATAAATAAGTATATATATAGTTAGATGTATATATGTTACTATATATGTATATGCATATATTTATACATGCATATATGTATATACAAACATAAACATATATATATATATATACATATGTATATACATGCGCATATTTATATATGTATATACATACATAAACATTATATATATATATATATATATATATATATATATATATATATATATATATATATATATATATATATATATATATATATATATATATATATATATATATATATATAAGAGGAAGCTTATTCCGTTATATTAGAGTAGCACATATGAAAGTCAATTACGAACGAAACAATAATAAATACCACTACATATTCGGAATAAAATAACCCGTCGAATACTTCAAAAGGTGTTCAGAGATCACTGTGTGGTCTGAGAGTATCAAAGGTCGACAAAGGAAATTGGCGCACAGACGCGAGATGAAATGTTAGAGATGATTTGATTGGTTGGTTTACATGCACTTCCTGGATTATCTGAAGCTGCACCAAACCCGACAGCTGCAGTTATACTTATGTTGGCGTGGATTTTGGAAAATGTTGTCTTTTAGTCTGTATCTAATTTAGCCATGATTTTAGCAAGGGTGGGGGCAACTTATACATTTATGTTAGCAAATATTTTGAAAAATGTTGTCTTTACGGCTGGTGAACGACAAGATGCGCAAAAAAAAATTGCGCAAGGGCATTATTATAACGAGCGTTTATATAAATTAACAAAGAGTGACTACAATTACACTGTAGCATAATACAACATATTTCCACAAAATATAACAAAATTAAACATTATAAGTATAATTAGTTTGTATTTGCGCATTCTTCTGTTTGCGCAATTTTCCGATTGCGCATTTTCGGGGAACCCTTTACAGTTACATTTACTTCACTTTTACCATCAACTCAAGGAATGCATCAATCTTGGTCAAGAAGAAGTTAAATGTTTTGAAACCTATATTATGCCCAAACTACAGTAGTTCCTCCTCAAATAGACATATTGGAAGCCTGTGTATAGTCCAATTAAGTAAATTTACTAATTTACTAGTTTTAATTTTTTTAAAGTGAAATTAATTCATAAAAACAATGGGTCAAATTTTAAGCCAACGACAAAACTGAAAAGATTAAGGGAATACAATGGGAGGCTGCCCTTAATACTGTGTACTAAACTCTTACAGGGGACGGCGTGGCCTAGCGGTAGAAAGCTAGACGGCTAACCCAATAGTCTCATGTTGCAGTTCGGGCTCAAGTCAGTAGAATATCTCGAGTCCACCCTGATGAGCCGAACACACGTTAGGGAAACAAAGGCCGCTGGTCTTAGTGCTGACCACACTATCCCTTCACTTGCTGAGGTCGCTTCTTCTTCGTCCTTAATTTTTAGTGTTGGAAGGGATCAAGCCTTATCTGCCAGAGGGTTTGAATTCGAACCTTTTCTTTTTCGAATTTAACAACCATGCACTTTGCACACTCGACCACGTCTCCAACACAATTAAGTATAGGTGTCAACTGGTTATGCGCCATTGAGGCTATTGACTCCGATTTCAGCCTGCTTTTCTTTTTGGATATTCTTACATAGCCTTTGTCCAACCAAGAACAAACTACAAGGCAGCAGTTGTTTGATTTTGGAGTTGTCTCTCCTAGAAGAGTGGCTGTCCCCAGCTAACGAACCCTATCTGCCCGAGGGTTCGAACTCGAGACTTATCGTTTAGCAAAAATGAGCTTTACCGACTCAACCACACCGACCCAACCGAGGTCTCTTACGTAGATGAACTCTACTTCATCTGCCCCATGTGTCTTTGTCACGAATTGGAAAATATGATCATGATGACGAAACTGTTACACCGATCATTACAAATACAAGTCGTTTACTTTTAATGACAACTCATAACCCAACTGTCATCTTTAACGGCCTGCATAATGAGTGACATCCCATATTTAGAAAAGAATTATCGCTGTCGCCTTGCATATTTTGACATACCACTTCAACCCTAAAGTAGTTTCCCTTCTCCACAATGAGCAGACCACTTATCTCTACGGGTGAGCTTAACTCTACTCCACCACCGTAACCGAAAGTCCACTTTATGCCAAATTGTAGACAATTGTTTTTTACGCAGAAACACATTGTACACATATTTTAACCAAGCGTGGACTACTTATCCCTACGTAGGGCTAAACCGCTGACCCCTAGCCCATATGTTCCGGATTTATCAGAATCCAAGTTTTTGAAAAAAAAACACTGCGGCTATTTTCGTAAAGCTAGAAAATTTGTTGGACAATTCCTCGATTGAGCAAAGTTCGTAAAGATGGTTTAGTTGGGACATAACGGACGTGGTCAGGGTATTTATAAGCAGGACGTCAGGCATGGGATCAAACACAAACTTGTCAAACCATGGCTTCAAAGATCATTCTCTTCGCTGGTAATTTCAGCAGATCTATAGAACTGTTTTAAGAATATAGAGTTAAAACACTCGTTTTATACAATTAATACATTTGAAAATATATAGTTAATTTAAAAAAATAACATTTGTTTAAAGCGAAAATTGTGAACTTACGATAAAAAATAGATGACAGCGTTTCGATTCGTTGTTAAGAATAAGAATTTATAAGATTTAAAATTATAATTTACTGGTCAAATTTTTTCAGAAAATGGTTTTAATAAAAAGTAGGGCCTATTTATTAAAGTCGTGAATATAACTACATAACGAATTGAACGCGAGAACAGTTACCAACACAGTTTTAGAATTTTCGTTTTTTAAAACAATACCAAAAATTAAACCATAAATTATCATCACTGCTACAAAATGTATGCAATTTATTTTTTACCCTCTATGTACGTTAATTTACCACAATTTAACCCGACTTAACTCTTTAAACAGTGCTTATGTCTGAGGTCGGCCTGACCCAGGCTCTGACTAGATCTGAGGAGTGTAGCCTGTGTTTCTATGTAGACAACTTCAAAGCCGAGAACGCCAGACTACTCAATCTACTGGTAATTTGAGATATTTTAATCATCGATATTTTCAATTATGACAATTATCAGCTATTTTCATTAATTCCAATTAAATCTAGTAATATTTTATTTATGCAGGCAATGTTAATTTTAATAGACTGTATCGAAGTATTTCATTAATCAATTTATAATTAATTAAAATAGCTATAATTCCAATGTCACTCTTCAACAGGAGAACATGGCCCTTGATTTGGATCACAATTTGTTTGCTTATCTCCCCGTCAATATGGTGAGTTACTTATTTTTAAAACAATAATATGTTGTAGCTGGGTATGTGATTTTTATCAAAGAACATCCACATGACATAACACAACGTTAAATAACAAATGACATTAGGGAACAGTAAAGAAGATAAACAAATACCAAAAACATTATACGACTGCAAAGATGACGCTGTAACATCAAAGTACTTGACATAAGAGCGCTAGAGCGCTAGTTTGCTAATCCGAAAATCTCGAGCTCAAATTCGGATTAAAGTCAGTAGATCGTCCCTGAGTCTGTCCAGCTCTTATGGGTACCTAACTCACATTAGGGAAAGTAAAGGCGGCTGGGCAAAGTACTGACCACACCTTCCCTTTATATACGGAGGTCAAGGAACATTAGCTCTACTTTATCTGCCTAATGGATCGCTAAGTCAGAAGAGGATTTTTAAATATAAACCACTGGTTATTAGCCGACACATGGTGTGGATGAATTTGTGGGGAATTCAGAAAAACATTCTTTAAATTCTTCGTTACTTTGAATGTTACATCACGTCATGAGGAATTAACTTCTTTTATGTATCTACACGTCGTGTTATGAGCGTAACTTTAACCACAAAACATACATCAAGTGTCTCACAAAGTGCACAACATCAAGTATCTCACAAAGTGCACACCGTCAAGTGTCTCACAAAGTGCACACCGTCAAGTGTCTCACAAAGTGCACACCGTCAAGTGTCTCACAAAGTGCACACCATCAAATGATTTCCGGAGCGTTTATAAGTTTTTCTTTTGTGTGTGAAATCCTGAGGGCTTTTTAAGTTGTGACTCAATTCATTCTTAGTTCATGTGTTGTATTAGATGCATCGTCTCGTAGCGTCGTGTAGTTGTTTTCGTCGCCCGTGTAATGCAAGATAATAAGTGCATGAGAGAAAATAGAAACCCGTGCGAAATTTTCTATTGCTGTTTCATCTGGTATAGGATAAATCAACACTGGTGTAAAGATTTTTTATTTTTTTACGTTGATGTGTATTCTAAAGCAAAACAAACCATTTGTGACTCGTAAGATATAGGATGAGGATGAAAACGTTTTCAGGTTCAAGTTCCCAGCTAGTAATTTCAACTTTCCCGTTTCGAAATACAACTTTCGGTGTGTTCATATTTTAGTAACACAAATCTCTAGTGTCTACTTATTTAGTGATACACGTTTCTGGTGTCTTACTGTCACTAATGCAAGTTTTTAATGTTTTCACTTTTTGGTAATACAATTTTAAATTTCTTCCCATTTTGGTAATACAATTTTAACTTTCTTCCCATTTTGGTAATACAATTTTAAATTTCTTCCCATTTTGGTAAAGCATTTTAAAAAATTTCTTCCCATTTTAGCAATACATTTTTAAATATTTTTTTTCAATTTTAGTAATACAACTTGTCAATGTCTTCCCATTTTATTAATACATTTTTAATGTCTTTCCGTTGTAAGAATACAATTTTGTATTCACATTAGTATTACAATTTTTTTTGTTTCCCATTTTAGTCATACCGTTTTTAATGTCTTCCCATTTTAGTAATACAATTTTTAACGTCTTTCCTTATTATTGGTGAAGATTTCTGATGTCTTTTCTTTTAGTGATAACATTTTTTGCTGTTCTCCTGTTTAGTAATACAGCTTTCTTATATTTTCCATTTTAGTTATACATTTTCGTGTCGTTTTATCTTGGCCTCTCTTTATTTTTATTTTTTTTGTATAATTAATTTTGAGGATGGAAAAAATTCTATTGTGTTTAATGCTGTTTTACATGTTGTGTGGCTAACGCTAATTTTCTTGAGAAATTGCTCTTTTGTCATTCTTTTCTCGACCCATTCAAAACTTTGTTTAATAAAAAAAAATGTATTAGTGTAAATTAAAATGAATAAAACAGAGATCACATGTTGCGTGTGTAATTTAATTTGTCAATATTTTTAACTTGTAGGACTTACTAATTTATAAAACATTTTTCTTGTGAGTAATAAAATGTATGATATGCAAAAAAAAAGCCAACTGCTTATTGCTAAAAATAAAGTTTCCTTTTTGAACTTGACATTTGATACAGCAGAGAAAGTCAGGAAACAGAGTTTACCTTTTTCAATGACCTCTGAATTGTGTGGGCAGCTCGATGCCCAACCCACCATTACATTCCCTTAACAAAAGCGACGCCAACCGAATTAGCTTCTTGACTAATAGACGACCATTGGGCTAAATTCTGGGAACCGAACTCGAGAATTTCCTGCCATTTCACGCCAATCTGATGCCCGCTTTCAAAGCGAAAAAAGTTAACTTTGGTTACATTTTTACTATTATGTATTATCTATGTTTTCAGAGTATTGATTCTGAAGAGCTCTACCAGAATTTGAATCTTTACCACCTGACCTTCCTTGCATTAGAGAACGATGTTTCGACCTACGAACAAACCCCAAGCTACGCGGAAGAGATGAAAATCGCGGAAACGCGAACCTTCCACGCGGATTTCAAAAACAAGTCCAGAAGCGTTGCCATGGAGATCTCCAGCCTGCTGCAAGTACGCCCAGAAAACGTCACGTTGAACACGTCACTTCCGGATCGCGTCACGCCAAGCGTTACGAGCCTGAGCGTCGTGTACGGGGAGAGCTGGTTCGTCAGCGAGCGTTTCGACTCGCTGCTGCAGACTCTGCTCGACTCTTGTGCAGTCTGTGACGCCGGGATGCGTCAAAGACGCGGAGGGGGCAGCAAAAAGAAAACGAAAAAGGGGAAAAAGAACAACAAAAAGAACAACAAAAAGAACAACAAAAAGAACAACAAAAAGAACGATAAGAAGAACGGCAAAAAGGATAAAGGCCAGAAGAAAGGTAAAGGGCAGAAGAAGGGACAGAAAAAGGGCATGGGAAAAGGTGGGAAAAACAAGTCTGTCTAAATCAACAAGTTATTTTTTTAAAGGAAAAAAAGGTGCATGTCTCATTTTAAGTTTAATTTAATTCATTGCTTTTTTTTAAAATTCTCTGTTGTTGATTTTTTAAATATTTTTTTTTCATTATGGTATGTCTTTATTATACAAAGTTAATTTTTTGTTACGAAATATATATTTTTTTTATTTTGAAAATAAAATGTGTTTTTTTTATTGAATAAGTTAATGATAGTTTTAGTGTACAAAAATGACAGTAAAGTAAAAGTATGTTGAGAAATGTTTACAGTATCTAAGATATAGTTGTGTTCAGGTCTTACATTAGCTGTGTAAATAATTATGTTGCACTTTGATAAATGTGATAATAGCATTTTTAAAATCAACTGTTTGCTGTTTCTATTGTAAAATATTGCACCATTGTCAAATGTTGTACCACTGTCAAATGTTGTACCACTGTAAAATTTTTGTACCACTGTCAAATGTTGTACCAATGTAAAATGTTGTACTACTGTAAAATGTTGAACCACTGTAAAATGTTGTACCAATGTCAAATGTTGTATCAATGTAAAATGTTGTTTCTATGTAAAATGTTGTTTCACTGTAAAATGTTGTACCAATGTAAAATGTTGTTTCTATGTAAAATGTTGTTTCACTGTAAAATGTTGTACCACTGTCAAATGTTGTTTCACTGTAAAATGTTGTACCACTGTAAAATGTTGTACCATTGTAAAATGTTGTACCATTGTAAAATGTTGTACCAATGTAAAATGTTGTACCAATGTAAAATGTTGTACCACTGTAACATGTTGTAGCAATGTCAAATGTTGTATCAATGTAAAATGTTGTTTCTATGTAAAATGTTGTTTCACTGTAAAATGTTGTACCACTGTAAAATGTTGTTTCACTGTAAAATGTTGTACCATTGTAAAATGTTGTATCACTGTCAAATGTTGTACCAATGTAAAACGTACCATTGTAAAATTTTGTACCACTGTAAAATATTGTACCAGTGACAAATGTAGCACCGCTAAACCATTCTGCACCATTGAAAAATGTTTAAACTCTTGTACCAATACATTAATATACCATTTAACCAATGAATTATGTTGTACCATAAAAATATGTCCCACAAAATCCTGAGGGTAAACTCAGACCGTGACTTGCCTCTAAAAAGTTGCAAGAACAGTATGTGCTATGCACATGAAATTTTATGTTTTAATTATGTCTAGTATTCCGGAGATTGCATTTAGTTCAGTAGATGTTGTGAATATCATTTTGTAATTAATTTAGCTCAAATTTTAATTAAATAAATGGTATATTTTATAAATAGAATGTAAAAACTTTGTCTTATTGTAGAAGCTTGATATGATATTTTGTATTAATATATCTATATATATATACATTTTTACAGTATGTATGGTTTATATACAATAATCACCCCAAGTTAGAATATTTAATGTAACTGTATTATCATTTAAACTAACATCTTTTATCCTAAATAGACGAGTGTTTTAAACTATTAACAAATGTATGTACAAAAACTAATAACGACACTATTCAAATGTTAAAACATGTAAATAGATTAAAGATAGTGATAGCATTATATTTTAATCAAAGTTGACGATTTTTTCAAGAGAGTAAAGTATTTTTTATTAGACTTCATTACTTTAGCGTTTGTTAACGTTTAAAAATTGTACATATTTTTTCTTATTATTCACGTTATTTGTCAAGCACTGCTTTTGAATTAAACACTTATCTACAAACTTGAGTTCATGTGTTTTATAAATACAAGAGTGAGTACGGTCGATAGTGAGTTTGTGTATATGGCTGAGGGAATTTTTTTATCACCAGCTGATTTATTTCTTGAAGCTTTAATAACCAACTGAACCTTCACATTTCGAATATAAATATTTGTGTACACAGACAGACACCGACACTGACACACACATACACATACAAGCACATACAAACATTTACACACACACACATACACACACGCACGCAATCTCGCACGCACACACACATACACAAAAATACACACACTCAAATATGTAAATAGATACCACCATATATATATATATATATATATATATATATATATATATATATATATATATATATTTATTTATTTATTTATTTATTTATTTATTTATTTATTTATTTATTTATTTATTTATTTATTTATTTATTTATTTATATATATATAGAGAGAGAGAGAGAGAGAGAAAGAGAGAGAAAGAGAGAGAAGAAAGGGAGAGAGAGAGAGAGAGAGAGAGAGATTCGGGGGGTCCGAAATATTTAGGTTCTGTTTTATCTTGAAATGAGTCTCGCTTTGGTCACGTGCTAGTTCTCTTACCGTCCAACCCTACGGGTGCCAGAAAAGATCACTGGGGAATTCCCGCACCACAACAGATACAGGACTATAGCCGCTCTACTCAAGATAGTACCTGTTTAGAATCAACAGGTTTCCGTCTAGACAAAACGGGAAACACAAACGTCTGCTAGGTGTCCGTTACCTGCGGTCTACGGTGGGGAACTTGAGCACAATAAAATGGGCGTGGCTTGATTGGTTATTAACTCCTGATTGGTTTTCGGGGGCCGCGTTGCCGTTCGCGATTATTGTCTGATAATGCTATTTTATTTACTAACCAGGTTCATTAAAGTGTTTATTTTTAACATTATTATGCCATTCATACACAATTATTTATCGAAAGGTTAGAAACGTTACATGTACAAAACACCAAAAATAGAAACTATAGTAACAAAAATACCCATCGTAAGGTAGAGGGTATTTAAAGGGTTAGGTTTGATACGACAGGGTTAACACTGAGCCCGTTTGAGTAAGCTACCACAAGACATTGGAAGCAGTAGATTTGGAGCCGTTTTATTTTGTTACACGTGAATTTTTTGCAGTAAAGTTTCAAGCAATGATCAACATCGTCTTTCTTCTGTTTGCAGGTTGTTAAGATACGAACAATACTAGCTAGCAATATTAAACATTGATGCGGTTTTTATTAAATTAGTTTTTTTAATAATTGTATATTTATGGTTCTTTAAAGTTTAAAGTAATGATTAAAACCCAGAGATCAATAAAGTAGTGTTCTCTATGCGAACCTGGCGACTCACGAGCAGGTGAAATAGAGTTCACCTGTTTCTGTGAAATCGGCATGTGAAGAAATAATGTGGTCAGGACTATGCCAACTCGTCTTTACTTTCCAGAACGTAAGTCAGGGATCTGAACTCGAGACTGCCTGGTTAGCAGTCGAACGCTCTAGCATTCGACCACGCCGTCCCCTGTTGATCTATGGATGGGTTAATTTTATGATTTGATAAAATTAAAAATATATATATATAATTTGAAATAACTACACTTATGTTTTTAAAGTGATAAATTATTAGAGCCACGAATCTGTATTTAGGTATAAAGACATTATGTGATAGGATATTGGCATAGTAAAAAAAAAATTACGTATATTTTAAACGGGGCCAGAGGCGTAGCGACCCTTCCCGGCGCCCGGGGACAAACTTTTCGATTTGCACCCCCCCCCCCCCTCAAGATTTCGATTTGCACCCCGTCCCTCAAACTTTCGATTTGCACCCCCCCCCCCTAAAACTTTCGATTTGCACCCCCCCCCCCCCTCAACCTTTCAATTTATTTTTCCAACCCATTTTGGCGCCCCCTAAGGTCGGCGCCCGGGGACATATGTCTCCCCCCCCCCCTCGCTACGCTACTGAACGGGGCAGTGGTAATTCAATATTAGCGGAATTTTTAAAATCTTGCAAATAAAACCGCCGATTTTTCAAATAATTAAACTTGTTTGTGAAGTACAAAAAAAAAAAGTATAACAATTCAAATAATTCTTATTTACCTTTACGGCTAATATTTTGACTGTATTGTAGCATACAATATTTTTTCTTCCTGTTTCTAAATGTGTGTAGTCTTTGTGTAGTTTACAATATAAAGTACAATAAACATTATTTACATTCAGGACGTATATTAAACACTATTTATATTCCGGTTTCAGTTTAAGTTTAAAAATAATATTGCTTAGACCTACAGAAAACAATGTATATAAGATTCTTTTTTTTCTGAATCTTTACAATTCTATAACAATTCAAATTTTACAGTAGGCTACATATTGATAAAGTTTATTGTCGTATGTCGCTGAGCATGTAGTACAGTAAACCATGTTTTAATCCGTGTTTGTAAATATGTACAGGTGTTCTGCTCAGCACCACAACGGGTGCACCTCTACCTGCCGTAGACGTCTGCCAAATGTCCGTCTGCTTCTCTGTGGACAACTGCAGGGTGTGGAATCTTGACCTCTCCCAACAAGTGGTGAGTACAGGTGTAAAGTGATTAAAAACTAGACTGCTTGCTCAATGCGAAACAAATAATTTTGTGTTTGTTTCTGACTGGCGAAAGCATCATTTTAATGTCTTACTATAGGGAAAATGTACATCTTATTAAGATATTTTATGTGTTTATTACCTTTGCAGAAAGACAAGAAAATTCTTACGGACGAAAGAATTTTTGCAAATCTTGTCAGAAATGCTGTAAGTACTTCGTTGTCGTGTAAAACTGTGCTAAATGATCACTAGATCACAAAATTAAATCTTGTTTTTACAAAGCTTGTGGGTCATTCTTTGGTCCAAGAATAATGTTACTAGAGAAATGTGACCTGACATATCTACCAGAATTTTAAAACTGACTATTAACTAAAAATTAAATTATTGTCCTAATTTAATGATTTCTTATAAATTATGTTTAAAAAAATATTTTTCATTAAATTTAGTTATTAAAATTTTTTATTAGAGTTGTAATACAGTTTTTTTTTAAAAAACATAAATTAAATATACCTTTTTATTTTTTTTTTAATTTTAGTCGAGTTCTGATGCGTTTTATCTGGCCATGAGTAATTACTCAGCCAAACTGAACCAGCTCGACAAAGCCTTGTCCAACTACATGCAGACTGGGGAGTTCAAACAACTGAGCACATCCGTGGCCATCC